TCACAGGGAGGGGAAGGGAAAGGAGTTTGTAAGCCGCTCTAAGACTCCAAGTGAAGGGCGGGGTATAAATCCAATCTCCTCCTCCTCCTCCTCCTCCTCCTCCCATCACAGCATCTGTGCCCAGCTGCTCCTGAGCAACATGGGGAAACAGGGTGAGGTGTACTTAGCAAAGCATGCATCTGATTGAGATGGACTTGCTAATCTGAAGGCTGGCAAAAGCAGGATGCTTCAGGAGCCAAACTGAAACTGGTGAATGAGCAGAGTAGCAGGAATTGTACTGGTCATGTTCCCATGTCTCCCTATTGAATTATCACCTGCACAGATACTAAACATAAACATGCACAAATTGCAGAACTTATGTGCTGGCCCCAGCCATGCTTGTGATGCCCTGGCAGGGTCTGCATTTCCATCCCATGGGGTCTCCATTTGCCAGGGAACCCCTCTGAGGCACATGCTGTAGCTGTCCAAATGACACCTACTAATCCTGTGAGGAAGTGGTTTGCAACTGCTCCATCCCTTGCTACCCTATAGAGCCCCCATCTTGCAAGATAATGGGTCCCATGATTTCCTGGCCAGCCGATCCATAAAGGACAGTGTGGCAGCAGCCGATCACCCAAAACCACAGTTATGCCCTGTCTTCTGTCTGGAGAAGTGGGGTACCCTTGCAAAGGAGTGTGCTAATAACCCAGTTCAGGGCTGCAAGTGTCCACCCACCCCCCGCCCCGCATCATAGGTAGCTCTACTGGATACCCTTCTCTGGGAGAATATGCCCCATTGCATGACATTGGGCATAGTCCTGGATGGGCCTGGGTTGGGTTATCCCCATATGCATACACCACCAACCCTAGGTGTGGCAGCTAGTATTATCAAAGTGGTGCTTGGTCTCAGGGGAAGGGGGAGGTAGATGCAGGCTGCTGAGCTAGAGCAGCTGAGTTCCCACCCCTTCTCACCTGTCTCTTCTTTGGGTTGAGCCTCTGGAGATGGGTTCTGAAATGAGACACATTAGTCACATGGCATGGACTTTGCTCTACCCCTTAGTGTTGTGGTACTCCATTAGTGGTACTAAGTGGTCTCTCTCTGCTTCTCCCACCACCAAAGTACAATGCTGTATGATCTAAAAGTGAACTGCAGATACCTCGAAGGCAACGTCCTGTGCCTCACTCTCTATTTGCTGAACCATAACACAGGGTTAAAATGGTTAAAAGACGCCTGCTCCTTGGGAGGAAAGCGATGGCGAACCTAAACAGCATGATAAAAAGTAGAGACATCACCCTGCCAACAAAAGTCCTCATGGTCAAAGCAATGGTATTCCCAGTAGTCATGTATGGCTGCGAGAGTTGGACTATAAGGAAGGCTGAGCGCTTTTGAACTATGGTGCTGGAGAAGACTCTTCAGAGTCCCTTGGACTGCAAGAAGATCAAATCAGTCAATCCTAAAAGAAATCAACCCTGACTGTTCCCTGGAAGGCCAGATAATGAAACTGAAGCTCAAATACTTTGGCCACCAAATGAGAAGGGAGCACTCACTGGATAAGACCCTGATGCTGGGAAAGATTGAAGGTCAAAGAAGACGGGGACAGCAAAGGATGAGATGGTTGGACAGTGTCATAGATGCAACGAACATGAAATTGAGCAAACTTCAGAGGACGGCGGAAGACAGGAAGGCCTGGCATGATCTGGTCCATGGGGTCGCAAAGAGTCGGACTCGACTGTGCGGCTGAACAACAACAAAGAACTACTATACTGTCTTCATTCCAGATAAATGAAAAACAGTATTGCTTCCTGACAACAAAAGCAGCACAGCAGCACTCTGAATAAAAGGCATAGGACATTATTTTAATTCCTTCATACTTACCCAGAATTCAGATCTGTAATTCTTAAACAGTTTGTTGCATCCAATCCTACTTTTCCATTTCTGTTCAAGGCAACTTCAGGGGACATATTTACTCATTGGCTGCACTCAGCTCTGCAAAATAAACAAAAGAGTAGCTATGACAGTTTGATACGTGAAGAGTTGGACTCGACTGTGCGACTGAACAACAACAAACACAGGGTGTCAAACATAGGGGTTGCTCCCTCTGCTGCTTTCTTCTTCTTTCGAACCCAAGCCTCCCTTCCCTCCACTGGCTGAGGGATCCTCCTTTGGGAGGAAGGGGGGAGGAGGAGGCAAAGAGTGAGAGAGAGTCGTGCCTAGGAGAGAGAGCAGAGTCTGAGTCCCGTGGCTCCTTTAAGACCAGCAACATTTTGTTTCATATATAAGCTTTCATACACTTCTTCAGAGGGAGGGAGGGTGGGAGGGTGGGTAGATGGATGGATTCTTCTGACAAGCCCAATTTACATTGAAATCACTGTGCTTTGCTGTTTACTTTGAGACTTGATCTCTCTCTCTCTCTCTCTCTCTCACACACACACACACACACACACGCATGTGCGCACACATGTGTATTTATGTTAAAAGGAAGGTGCAGGTTGGGATAAGGGGAAAGGAGAATTAAAAGGAAACTATATTGGCTTATTCTCAAAGATTTTTTTTAAAAAATATTAGATTTCTCTGTGCCTATCTGGAATTTCATTTTCTTTCAAAAAGACACTGATTAGGAATTATAACACTTTGATTGGCTTCCATTGTTTAATAATCCAATTCCATTGGATTCCATTGTTTAATAATGGAAGTAGATGGTTAAGTATTTATATGGTTCCTTGTCTTCCAGTTCAACACATCTCCGTTTTCCCCCTCCCACGTTGTTGGCTGCCTTTCTTCATTCTCTTTGCTTTTTCAACTGTTTCATTATCATCACCAACACTTGAGTGGATTTTGCCCAGTCTGAAATCAACACATTATTTCACTTGGAGAGATCCCCCTCTCCAGTTTAAGCAGATGAAGAAAAAAGAAAAGCAACATAACAGTTCAGCTTGATAGCTTTGTTAGTGGAAAGAGAAGAGAGAAGAGAAGAGATTGGATTTATACCCCACCCTTCACTACCCAAAGGTGTCTCAGAGCAGCTTACAAACTCCTTTCCCTTCCCCTCCCCACAACAGACACCCTGTGAGGTAGGTGAGGCTGAGAGAGCTCTTGACAGAAACTTTTCAAGAACAGCTCTTATCAGAACTACGGCTTGCCCAAGGTCATCCAGCAGCTGCAAATGGAGGAGTGGGGAATCAAACACGGTTCTCCCAGATTAGAGTCCACACACTTAACCACTACACCAAACTGGCCAAGAGTCCAGTAGCACCTAACACATTTGTGGCAGGGCATGACGTTTCGTGAGTTTTCTTCAGATACAGCTAGAATGTGAGTCCATTGGTCTTTATATCTTGAAGAGTGGAGTGATTTCAGATGCCAGATGACAATAGCAGGTGTTGGTAATGAGACAAGAAACCTAGGTCTTGTTATACATATTAGATTCCAAATCAAAAATGAAGTCAAATGAGGAGGAAGATCTATGTTTAATTGCAATTAGACACAGGGAAATAGTGGGACCAAATAGCCCATCAAATGTTCACTGCTTTCTGAGCATATTCAGGAAGTACATGATCTTTTATACATGAACTGACATAATCAAGAAAACAATATTCAAAAGGCATAATTGGTTATAAAAGACAATGGTCATTTGAATAATAAGCTTATGATTTGTCAGATGTAAAGAGAGATGTATCTACGTAAATCTTAGTGTTTACTTAACCTAATCTAAAATGATAATGGGCAAGGAATCGTTATACCCCAAACAAAAGTATTTTTTACTGATACAAGACTAAAATCTTCTCTAACCCAGACATTGCAAGGTTTTGCCCTTAAGAACTACAGAATCATGAACTTTGTACCTATTATCTTGTCTGCTAGCAATATCAGACCTACAAGGGCCTTCTATATAACAGGCCTTTCTTACATTCTAATAAAATATTACTTAAAAGAGAAATCCATAAAACCAAAAATATGAATATGAACAATCAAGAAGAAAAAAACCTATATAAAAATATTTATATTCCCATTCATACTACAGTCTCAATTCAGCCCTGGAGGATGCATTGAGCTTCATTATCAGTTGCAATTCGGCAGTCTGTCTTTCTAATCTCACTTTGAAATTCCTTTGTAAGAGAAACTGCTACTCTTAGGTCATCAATGTTCTCTAAGGTTAAATGTCCCCCCACTGGTTTTTGAATGTTATGGTTTCTAATGTCAAACTTATTCCATTTATTCTTCGCATCCTCTTGGACCGAATTGAGGCCTAGGGTTTCTCTCTTATTACCAGTGCTGGTATTTCTACACCTACTACCCCTCTGCATATCACACCTAATCCAATCAAGTCTGCTGTTGTCATTCATCTGCTGTTGCCATTCAGTATCTGAAATCACCTGTATAAAGTTTATATCTCCAGTACTTCTTGTTACATTTTTTGGTATGCATACCCTGACCTGACAAATTGACATTTATGTTATGACGGTCCTCATAACAAATGAGTTCAACACCTCTGCCATAAGGCGTCCTGGCTGGGGTTTATGTAGTGCTACGGGAGCTGTGATTGGGTGCGGGGGAGGGGGTCTGGCCATCTCTGGGGTGATTGGTTGCAGCTATAATTTGCATCCTGCTCTCTGCTGGGACTTTTTGGTGGGACTGTGCCTCGGGGTGGTACCTTTCCTGTTATATGGGCGACTGTAAGCTATGCTATGTTTTTTTAATGGTGTAACTTTCTGCCTGTTGGGGGGGGGGAGCATTCCCAGGCTTGGGGTGGCTTAGAGAGTTGACTGACTCCTGCCAGGCCCTTGGGTCCCCTGCCATTTTTGCTAGAGCAGCAGCTTGATCTAGCATTGCTCTGCACTGGCTTTACTATGTTTCATTGCCATAACTACATTTTCCAGGCTGTGATTTAAGGGAGTTGAATTGATGTGTAATTTGAATATTAAAAGTTTGTTTTGGGTTTGTTTGGGTTTTTTTCCCAAAAAGGGTTCATTGACTTTCCCATAACAACAATTAAGATATTTTCCTCGGTTGTTTGTTTATAGGGGATATAATTTTTAATGCGCACTATCCAGAACTGCCACCTGACTTTATCTTTGGAGAAGATGCTGAATTCCTCCCTGATCCCTCTGCCTTACATGTGAGTACACCAGCATTGTTCATGCACTCCCTTGGCTTTTCAACTTAGTCCCCAGTAAACTGTGTCAGTCCATCTCTTTGCTTGCTTTAGTGAGCATGGAATGATCCCTTGTTCCAGCCTGCATTTGGTGGTGGTGGGCTACTTGCTGCTATTATTATATTTTCTAGCGATGTCGTTGTATAATTTAATTATTGTTAGCCACCTTGAGCTTTTTGTTCAAGAGGGGTATAAATAGGCTACATAGGCGTACATTTAAGGATTGCTTTAGCTGTTATATTTTAAGCAGGAAATAATATTGTCTATCCATTTTAAGCATTGATTAGTACATATATTTATTGGTTTTAGTGTTTCTGTGTATCATATGGTAATTTAATTTTTTCTTTTACCAAAATATTATGACTAGATCCATGGACACTGTGTGTATGTGTGTGGGGAATCTGTGGAGGACTAGCCTCAGGAAGATTCTGAATCATTTCCTAACCCACTCTCACTTTAAAAATAAAAGGTGACTTTAAGTAGCAAACTAGATGTGCTGTTGGAGATCCATGAAGACATACCATCTCCCATATGTTTTTTAAAAATCCTTCAGTGCAACTGGGTTGGAGGTAACAGCACTGAGCAAAAGAGGGTTAAGTTTTTTTCCAGAGGCACTGGAAAAGTGAAAAGTACTGGATCAGACTTTTCCTTATTGTGTGTACTTCTGGCATAGCTCTCATAGGCATTGCCAGGTCCCCCCGGGGGGCAGGGAAACCCCCTCTCGAGAGGCCCGTTCCCTGCTGGCCCGGATTGGGCCGCCAGAGGGAACCCCACCCCCAAAGTCTGTAACGTGTGCGGCATGAAGATGTCATCTGGAGGTGACGTCATCACATTGGGCACGTTACTGGGGGACGCGCTGTCATTCGAGGGAAAACTATGGTTTTCCCTCAAACGATTTTGGCCCCGCCCAGAACGTGCCCAACGCAATGACATCACTTCTGGGTGGCGTCATCGTGGCGCGTGCGCACAAAGCATGCACACAAGGAGACTCCCGGCCAGGGACAGGACTTCCCCCGCTTTTAGGAAAGTTTGACTTGGCAACCCTACATAGTGTTGGATCCCCAAGCATCGAGAATAAATCCACGTTTTCAAGAAAAGCAAAATTTATTTCAAAGCATTGGAAAGACACTCAAACACGTTCTTTGTTAGAACTGACTACAAACAGTTAGGGCAAGCATAATAAAGGGATTTGAAACAGATACAGAACCAATGGGTCACTTTCCCGCTGGCGGGTGAAAGGAAACGGTTGCGCGCTCATTCCCTGGGAACCAGGCTATCTCCAGACATAACACAGGTGCAGTTCTCAGGCTCTAAAAGCAACAAGCTGGCATGAAGCGAACTCCCCCAGTACGTCCTCCAGTTGTTTGGCTTAGGCATTACAGCAGAGTAAAATAATAGCACACAGGCAAAGGGCGGGTAGCAACTGTACAGAAGAACCAGCAACACAGGAAAGCATGGCATCGCAACCCTACATAGGCACTGGAGCCAATCAGAAAATATTTGGTTGTCGTTTAAGAATGAGAATTAGTCCTCCAGTCTCACCTGTACTGTCACCAATAGATGGGTATTATCATAAACATGTGAGCAAAAATAATGATATTGTAAACTCACAAGGAAAAATTAAGTCCCGGCAGTAAAAGAATTATCACACATAAAGAGTGGAGAGAGGAGACATTATTTCCTGGGTCTGAATTGTAAAATCTGAAATTTATACTGGTTAAATGTTTAATATAAATATTTTATCACCGTGATTAGTATATCATAATTACTATAATTTTATACTTTTTAAATTTGTTATTACATGTTATGGAACTATTCAGCTTTTATTATCGGTTATTGATGAGGATATTTTAAAGTCATTCAGGAAGACTATACTTCTTTGTTTTGTCTTGTCTTTGGTTTAGCTGAAATTATATAAGATATATTAAATGGAGAAATAATTTTGATTTTTTTCAAATATGCTTCAGCTTATATATATGCTTCAGCATATATATATACATCATATTTTATTACTGCATTTTATATCATTATTATATTATTGATTGTCTTTGTTACCTGTTAAAAAACTCTTTTCCTTCTACTTTTTTTGTACCTACACTCCTTTTTTTGAAAATAAAAACATTTTAAAAAAATAAAAAGAAAATATTGGTGGTTGCCAGCAGTTGTTCTGGAGGCAGCTGTTTCTCAGTGGGTGCTCCAGGTGGACACAAAGGTGATGCCTCCTGGGCTGTCTAAAGCATTTCCTGCTCTAGTGAGATGGAGGAAAACCAGGATTGGCTTCTTTGGAGAAGTTAAAAGTGGGTACCAGAAAACAGGCTGGTGGGCACAATGGCTCTGGGTACTACATACTTTAAAAGTCATCTTTTACTACATGCAAAATACTTTTAAAGTTACCTTTATAAAACCTACAATTCAAATAATTTCAAATACATTGAACTCGCTGTGTTTAGGTTTTTACTGTTCTCTCTTCTACAGTGGTTATCTCTCTGGCCTCCTAGATGTAATTTTCTTGCTATGAGGCTGATTCTGGGTTAGCCTTGCTTTTGTTAACTGTTGCTTAGGTATGAAATAGGATTTCTTTTATAGTAGACAGGTGATATTTGTTTTTGGCAGTGGTACTGTATAAATACCTTGAAGCATGGAAACAAAGTGGGGTGTGCTCTGGCTTCTGTCATGTTAGGCCAAGGCTATGAAAACTGAATGGATATGCAGTTGTGCTATAACAAAGACAAGAACATTTTTTTGAGGAAGGGAGGATATAACAGTCAAGAACATTAAACAGATAACAGTTTGTTAATTTGCAGCATGATGATAAATATTGTGGCTAAAAACCACTATTTGAATGTTGTTTTGATCAGGCACATCATGGACTGTGGTGGTAGAAAGTACCATCAAGTTGCAGCTGACTTATGATGGCCCCAAGGGGTTTTCAAGGCAAGAGACAAACAGAGATGGTTTCCATAGCAACCCTGGACTTCCACAGTGGCCTCCCATCTAAGTACTAAGCAGGGTCAACTCTGCTTGTATACCTTAAGTGCTGTCAAGTTGCTTCTGACCTATGGCGACCCTATGAATTAATGACCTCCAAAGTATCCTATCATTAACAGCCTTTCTCAGGTCTTGTGAACTGTGATTCCTTTTACTGAGTCAATCCATCTCATGTTGGGTCTTCCTCTTTTCCTGCTGCCTTTTCCTAGCATGATTGTCTTTTCCAGTGAGTCTTGTCTTCTTCCAATGTGACCAAAGTGCAATATCCCCAGTTTAGTTATTTTAGGTTCTAGGAAGAGTTCAGTCTTGGTTTGACTTAAAACCCACTATTTGTCTTTCTGGTGGCCCACAGTACCCATAAAACTCTCCTCCAACACCACATTTCCAAGGAACACCATGGCATGGTCACCAGTGACACATCCTTACCTTTAAGAGTCTTTTCTAGTTTCTTCAAAGCTGCCCTTTCCTATCTCAATCTCCTTCTGATTTCATGGTTACAGTCTCCCTTTTGGTTGATGATGGAGCAAAGGAATAGAAAATCTGGAACAATTTCAATTTCTTCATCATCAGCCATCATTACTTTTGTCTTCTTGATGTTCAACTGTAATCCTGCTTTGGCACTGTACAGGATTAGCCACCCAGGCCAGTCCAGGAATGGGAGGGAACCCTGTACTATTACAGTACATTAAACAACAAACCACGAAATGGTCTATACCCTCTCTGGTTTCAGAACAATTTGCCACCAGAACCTCTTTTCAATAGTCCCTGCTTTTCCGGACTTCCGGTCTGTGGCTCGGTGATGGCGGATGCTCTCCCCTACCCCTGGGGAAGTGATTCGCGCTCCAGTGGAGCTGGAGGGGTGCCACCTCAAGTGGCACCCCCAGGTGAGCCTTAGTTAAAGGTTCCAAGCCGGGGGCGCTGGGGAGAGGCGACCTCTTCGATGGCGTAATGCCGGAGAATTGAGGCGCTCCTTCTTGCCCCAATCGGTCTACCCACTGCAAGGTTCGGTTTTACACCGAGCATAGCCGATGCCGACTGGGACAAGCAGAGAAGGTCCGCGAATGAGCGCTGCTACAAGGGTCTATTTATAGACCGGCAATGAACTGGAGAAAGAGCCAAGCGGAAAAGTTTTAAAAGTGAGTTCTCTCCCCCCCCCAATGGAAAGTGGCGTCGGGAAGGAATTCCAGACGTAAACAAATGAACTGTTGTATATAAACGGAGGGGGGAGGAGAGAAGGGGAAACGTCAAAGTGTGTAAGAGACTTAGCTGCGTTTGCGAAGATAAATGCGTCTCTTTTGAAGAAGGGTGAAAGAGGTCCTTCTAGTGTAAACAAAGCTGAAAATGGCCGGTGCGCGAGGCAAACTGGGAAGAGGGCCAGGAAGAGGCGGTCAAAGTCCAAGAGGGGAAGAAATGGGTGACGTGTTCTCCATGCTATCGGAACTGCTCAAGCCGATTAACGAGAGGCTCGATGGTATTAACGAACAGATGACCGTTTCAAACCAAAACCTGGCAAAGCAGCAACAGCAGATTACCGAGTTGACAAAGAAATCGATGCAAACAGAAGAAAAACTTAAAGAGACTGTACATGACACCAAGAAAGTTAAAAAGAAGATCGGTCTGTTGGAACAGTGGCAAGACTTTCAGGAAAGAAGGTTGCTGAACCTGCAAATGGAGAAAGTAAACAAGACACACAGATTTCAGGGGATTGCTGAATTGCAAGGAGAAAACTTGAAGAAAATGATGGCAGAGCTCATCGCGTCGGCGGTGGGGTTATCAACGGCAGAAGCAGAATCGGAAATTGAGGTGATTTATCGGTCATACTCAAAATATATAAAGCGGAACAACCTGCCGGGTGAAATTGTTGTCAAGTTTCTCCGAAGACAGACTAGGGATGATATCCTTAAAGCGACAGCAGCAAGTCCTCTGAAGCTGGGAGCAACAGTCGTCAGGGTCCTAAAGGACACCCCATTTGAGGT